CGGGAAGATGCGCGGAAAATCGGCGCGGGACGTGAAGGACCTGCAGCCCGAAATTCTGAGAAGTACTGTTCGGTGTGTCGTGCAACAGGAAGGACCAATTCCAGGGCTCATCCAGACGACGCCGAAGACATCGATCACTGTAAGCCGCCTCTCGGGTAGTCGTAGAGTGCCGTCCGGTCATGGTTGGTAGCGTGAATCCATTTGTCTCTGTTTAATATCTCTCACAAGACTAACCCGCGATTCAGCTACCGCGAGCGCATTTTTGGAGCGCTCAGTTACCGTATATCCAGCCGGCTCCGAATATTGTATCGAAGTCTCTCTCTTTTCGCTACCGTCTTCCGCTACCGTTTCGTTTCGTTACCGCTTTTTGATACCGTCTTTTTGCTATTGTCTTCTTCATACTGTCTTTTCAATACCGATCTTTTGGTTACCGTTTTCTGCGCTATCTCTTATGGAAAATATCTTCTCGCTATCGAGTATCGTCCCGCAGCGCGGGTATCGTAAAGTACCGTGTGAGTAAAGTTGCAATTGTTTAATGTCTGCAGACGGGATTTGCGCCGGAACGTTCTCCGCGAGATTGCAGTTACCGTCATAGTAGCGTCTCTGCGAGAAACGAAAATTTCCGTGAAAATCATCGCTTCACGACATATCATGTTCTGTACCGAATAACTGTTCGTTCAAACGTTGTTTATTTGACATTCATCGGTCTCGTTTGTTCCGTCGTTACTGATATCTGTTTCACTAACGTATTGTCGGATTAATTGTCATTTTCGTGATCGCGTTTCGAGTTTCAGTGCCGTTACTACTTTTAGTTTATATTACCGATTTTGGCGGGCAAATTGTCTCGCCGCCGCCTGTAGCGAATCATTACCGTCGCCTCGGCTCATGCCGAACTATAATTGCTCACCGCATTACGATCTACTCATCTTTAACCCTTGTCAAACTAATTGTTAAATATACATTATTGTTACATATTAATTACTGAGTTGTCCTTGTGTTCGCCTCTCACTCCGGATTCTCAACGTAAAATAAAAGAACTGCGCCCCTCTGCTATATACTGAGCGGCCGGACATATTAAGCGAATTGTCGAAGTTACCGTTACCGCGGTGCGATTACACGCACCTGGCGCCCATTTTTCGATACCGAGTTTTTGAGCTACCGCTGTTACCGAATCAAGCATTTATTGCCGATACCGCGAGTTACCGAATCATGATTTACTGCCGATACCGCGTAAGTTGCCTAACTCCCGAAGAACGTGGAGTACCGCGAGTTACCGATTTTTATTGGACGTGCTCCCTCGGATCTGGCGTGATTCCGAGGCTAGTTCACGTCGCATTGTTTATCACGTAGCCACAATACATGATTTGATCTTTTAGAAAAGAGCATTTGTCTAAATTTATGCGTATATTATGTTTTGATAATCGTTTCAATGCTAACTCTAATCGTTCTAAATGTTGCTCCATTGTTTTTCCCACAATTCTAATATCATCTAGAAATACCGCCACCCTGGGTATTCCCGGGATACATAGTATATTTTCCATAGTTCTCTGCCAAATAGCAGGTGCGGATGCCACACCGTACATTAATCTATTACATCTTAACAGCCCTTTATGGGTACTTAAGTATTTTCCTATCCGCTTCCGCGACTGGTAATTGTAAATACGCTTGCTTTAAATCTATCTTGGAAAATATCGTGCCACCCGACATTGATACAAATAGTTCTTCAATCGTAGGTAAAGGATACTCGTTAATAATTAAGACTGGATTAACTGTGATACGGAAGTCATCACAAATATGGATCCACTGTCTTTCTTTAAAATGATAAGCGTGGCCCATCTAGAAGATTCAACTTTTTCCAAAATTCCAGCTTCTACCATGCATTCTAGCTCTTTTTCCACTTTTTCCAAAATTTTAAATGGTACTGTACGATTTTTAATAAATACCGGTTTTGCATTCGGCTTTAATTTCAAATGTGCCTTGTATTTCTTAATATGAGCAAAATCCTCACTCAATACATTATTGTATTTTTTTAACAAACTTTTAAATTGAATTTTACTTGATTCGTTTAACATTTTCACTTCCTTTATTTCTACAAGGCTACTTTCAAGTTTTGTTGGTTTTCTAAATTGATTTATCCATTCTCGGTCTAACAATGGATCTCTATCATTTTTCACAACGTACATATTCAAAATTTTAATTTTATCTAAATCCTTTATCTTTACTCTAACAAAACCGAGTGACACGAAATTTTGCTTACAGTACGATCTTAAGGGGGCATTATCGTTTCGAGAGCTAGGAAAAAGGCTATTATAATGAATTTTTTTTCTCAAAAACTATACGGACAATTTATCTCAAACTTCATACACATAATAATACATATTTTATTTATAAGCAGAAATTTTTTGAAGTCAAAATAATAAAAATTGTAATAATTATAAACATATTCGCGCGATGTCTCTGAGCGTGCATTGTCTTACGACGGCTCCCATAAAATCTGGATACCCAATGATCTAAAACAAAAAGATTGAAAAAAACCAAAAAGATTATTAATCTACAGATGTTCAGTTATCGTTAAAACTAGAATTATACAAAACAAACAATTTTTTCAATAATTTTAAGGCATGTAAAAATTGCACAAAATCGCCTAAAAAATCGACAGTTTAATGTTGAAAAAAAAATGAAAAAGTTAATATATTTTAATTTCGCTAGTTCCAACGATAGAGAGATATATTTTGAATATGTAGCTATATGCTGAAGCCGATTGGTTCATTAAAATCGTGGGAGCCAATTTGAAAAACGTCGTTTCGAGAAAAACGCGTTTAAAGTTTCGAGTACAATTTAATTATATATTTCTAGTACTTACATAAGTTTCAGCTTAATCGGTGATTCTAGGCCTATATAGAATGCCTTCTGCGAAGAACTCGTTTTCTGATTTTTTTTTCTCTAACAGCTGTTCGAACCGTCTGGAAGCCTTCACCGCTTCGTCGATTCGCGTGGTATTTCCGTTGTCTATCTTGAAACTCGGTGCACTGATTTCATTGCGGTCCGATAACGATGTCCATGATATACATAATTCGAAGAATTGTTGAACATCCTTCATTAAATAAATAAGCGGCCAAAAAAGCAACTGTTTCTAAAGTCTTAAACCCACAGTGAAGATGCTTCGGTGCCAAGCGCCAAATTGTAGCGTTGAAGCTCTCGTTGTTATTTTGCGATTCACTTCCTACGCATCGTTGTAGAAGATTATCTTTTGATAGATCTGCATAAATCGGTTTTAAAAATGTAATAAGTTTTGCAGAAAGCGACGGCACGTGAACAAACGTATCTGATAAGCCTGTAGCCTCTGCGCGTCGATCTCTGCACCAACTTTCGGCACCGGCAGGGCATAATATCCGTGCTGCGGATTTTCGTCAGTTGAACATAAATGCTTAAATGTAGTATTTATGGCATTTTTCATGTTTTCCACACTGTCGCAGTGTTTTCTAACTGCTAGTCTATCGCTAGGCGATCTGCACGTACACGATTATATTTCGTACTTTTTCGATCCATCTTTATGTATCTCCGTCCGTATAAGCAGAAGTTCAAACGACCACTGAACGAAAAACACGAGCAATTCGGCTTGTGAATACACACACTGGACACGGTATTATGTATTTAGAATTCGTTTCAGTTTGAAAAATCTGCCTAGCCTGCCTAAAGGTCGTAGGACCGTTATTACTCATTGTATTATAAAACTTTGGAAGGGGCCTGTGGGTGAGCGTTTAGATTTTGACCTGCGCGTTGCTTCGAATAATAGGCTGTATCTTCCGTAATTTTCAAAATTTTTCGATAAAAATTTAAAGGAAGATTCTTCAAAGTATGTACTTTCATAAAATAAAAAAGATCGATTTTTTTCAGCAAGGGGGGGGGGAATCATGGGGGGTTTTCAGACATGATTAGCAGACACTAACTGAACACCTCTGCAAATTTTCAGATTTCCGCGAATTATTTTGAGGTTTCGATAAAATTTTGCTTTCTTGACTGGGCTAATCTCGCTTTAAAATGTTTCAAGAAATTTGAAAATTTAGATCGTAATGCTTCGGAAGCAGATTGAGATAATTCGATCTTGAGAGTTTTTACGATGAAATCTGTCACGGCATTGCAGTCATATTTGTTCAGATTATTATCACGAATAAAGGTAAATACATCACCATTTGTTTTGAAATTATCCATGATGTAGACACGAGTCGGTTACGGTACACGATACGGATTAAGTCAAGTAAGTATAAATCAACTAATATGACATATACATATTATGTCTGAGATGCTTCTGGCTGGCTTGTTCTTTTTCTTTTCGCTGACCGTTGTTCGAGGAGCTCAATAAATTATCTCTTCGAGAGCCTTATTCCGCGATTTTTATATCTTCCTGAGAATTATCACATCCCTGTCCCAAAAATCACCCTAATCTGCCAATTGTACGACGCGATTTCTTTGAATCCGATTAGTTATTGCCTCCCCCCCCCCCCATGATTAGTTATTGATAGGAACTACATTTTGTCGCTCATGACAACAACTTTTTGAGGCAAGCGATTAAATAAACATGTCCTCGACTTTCGATTGCAATAGCGACGATCTCTAAAGAATATTACATTATATGTCTACAATGTCTTTAAAATCCATTCAGCGGTGTGCAATTGCGGAGTTTTGCTTGATTTTTATATGTTTCCAACTTGCTGAGATAGAAAACATCATTCTATGTTTATTTACTGTTATGTGCATATATCATATGTGTTAATATTTTCCAGAAAAATTCTTTTCGTGTGTTAATTTGTTATTGAATGATACTTGCATGAAATTAAACTTTGCTTTATTAATACTTCTTACCACACTTACTTCTCTCCTACTCTCAGTACATGTTCACACACACTCCGTGTTACACGTCCGCGCGATCCTCGTTTGTTGTCGAGCGCGGTTTATGAACTAAAAGCGTCGTTAACACACCGCCCACCAAGATTAGACTACTAATCTTTATTATCGGTATCATCGCTTACATGTAGTTTACAAAGTTTGGCTATAGCTCGTTTACAAATACCATTAATCACTAAATTATCCTTGCCAGCATGAAGCTTGGTTATGCGACCTGTTTTCCATTTTAAGGGCGGAAGATTATCATCCTTCAGAAGAACAAGATCGTTGATCTTCACATTTTCCTGTCTTGATTTCCATTTAACACGACTTTGTAGATTGGACACGTACTCGGCCACCCACCGTTTCCAAAAATCTTGGACGGAATGCTGAATTTTTTCCCATCTATCGAGGCGATTGATCCCAACGTCAGTTAAATCGTTCTCAGGAAGACTATTCAACGGCTCTCCTACGAGGAAATGTCCCGGAGTTAAAGGTTGCAAATCTGATGGATCCGAAGACAGAGGCGATAGTGTTCTTGAAAACATGCCTCAATTTGCACTAGAGACGTAGTTAATTCCTCGAACGTGAATAAAGTATTGCCCATTACTCGTTTCAAATGATATTTGCAAGATTTTACTCCTGCTTCCCATAAGCCACCAAGATGAGGTGAGTAAGATGGGATGAAGCTCCACTCTATACCCCTTTCTTGTAAGGCATCACCAACACTTCCATTAATTGATGAACGTATAAATGCGTAGAGTTCACTTAGCTCTCGCTTAGCGTCTATAAAATTTGTAGCATTATCGCTGCAAATTTTGCTTGGTAAACCTCGACGACCTACGAATCTGCGCAAAGCAGCTAGAAACGCTGCCGTTGTTAATTCACTTGTCGCTTCTAAATGAATAGCTCTTGTGGAGAAGCATATAAATAATGCTATGTAAGATTTACACGTTCTCCGACCTCGTCTCTTGTTGACAAGTGTGACTATTGGACCGGCAAAATCCACTGCAGTAATAGTGAATGCTCGCGTAGGCTTAATTCTGTCGACAGGTAAAGATCCCATTGCTTGCGTTAATCCCTTTGGATTGTTTCTGATGCACCAGACACAAAAATGGCAAATCCGTCGCACCAAGTTTCTCGCGTTTAATGGCCAATATTGTTGGCGTATTGAAGTTAATAACAATTGTTGACTGGCATGTAACAAAGTACGATGCTCTCTTTCAATCAGCAAACATGTAATTTTGCATTGTGCAGGCAACAAGATTGGGTGCCTTCTTTCGAATTTCCATGGTGCCTCTTGAAGTCAGCCGCCCACCCTGAGAATACCATCTTCATTTAAAAATGTTTGTAGTTGATGTAATTGGCTTGATTGACTCAGTTGACGTTTATCTTGCAGACTCTTTAATTCCTCTCCGAAGTATATGCGCTGAGAATATTTAATTAACTTCCGTCGGGCCTTATTTAGTTCTAGCAATGTTAATCTGCCTAAGATCCTATTCTCCTTTTTCTTGCAAATATTAGATATAAATCTAAGACAATAAGCGAAAGAACGCTCAATCTTTGTTAATGTTGAACAATCCTTAGTTAAACTTTCAATTGTCTCATTTAACATTCTAATCGCAGATGGTTGATACATATTTAGATTGCAAACTCGTGATTTCTTTTTAACTTCCACTTCTGCTTCAGAAAGTTCATCTTCCGTGAGTTCCCAATAAAGTTCTTTGTTTCTTGCCAATAGGTGTGGATTGGTTAACCACTCGGGGCCTTGCCACCACAAATGACTATCCTTGAGTCGAGAAGGCGTAGTTCCTCTTGATATTAAATCCGCAGGATTCTCAAAACCCTTAACATGCTTCCAATAAATGGCAGGCAAAATCTCGTTAATTTCAGCTATGCAATGGGATACAAAAGGTTTCCATCGAGAAGTGTCTCCACGAAGCCAGTACAATACGACCATGGAGTCTGTCCACCCGTATATTCCTTCAATTTTTACATGAATCGCTTGTGGAATCTTATCAATTAATCTTGCCAATAATAATGCACTGCATAATTCTAGCCGGGGTATTGATTGCTTCTTTAGAGGGGCTACTCTTGCCTTTGAACATAATAGTTTGACCGTTATCTCGCCATGAATCTTGTTTACCGATTGTATGTAGAGACACGCGCCATATGCGCTCTCGGACGCATCGCAGAAACCTTGTATATAAAAATGAAATGAAAAAATGAAATTATAAAACTGCAGAAGTAAAAAAAAAATAGGCATATTTAAATTCAAAATAAATTTTCAGCATCATCCGATTTATCAGAATAAATAGACCCAGATTCTCGTGACTGATTATCTGATGATACTTGATTAATAACTTGCTGATTTTGTCCGTGACTTTCGGTTATCAATCCTTAGCATTGGTAAGGACGACACTGATGGCTTTGATTAAAAAAGCATGAGTTACTGTTTACCTAGTCAAAGTTTGTTTCAAATAAACTTCTAGAAAAAAATATCGATGCAATTAAATAGAGTTTAATAAGTTAAAATTTAATAATGGTTAACAGGTGTCCGGTAACTCGCAGACCAACGCTCGTGAATAGATAAAGCACAATAAACTGAACAAAAAAGTTCTTTACCATTTTGCGCGAATCGCGCGCTCATTCGTCAATCTTTTTAATTAATATTTCAATAATTATTGCAAGAATTCAAAAATGGTAAAAAACTTTTCTGTTTAGTTTATTGTGCTCTATCTGTTCACGAGAATTTGTCTGCGAGTTATCGGACACCCTGTATGTCAATGCCTTCTATACATGAGTAAAATTCTGTGTTCTTGAAAACGTATTTGTGTGGAATATTTTTTACCGCTGTGTACATTATTGCAACATTTCTTGCAATACAATGTTTTATAATATGCAATATATTTCGGCTTAAAGATTTGCTGAAATCGAGATAACAATGAATGAATTCACACTAAAACAGAATTATTTATAAATTATAGGATAAACATCAAACAGATATAAATACTGTTGTATGCTAGTATGTATGTGTATGTGCGTTTGTAGTACTCACAAAACTTTGTTTTAAATTACGGTCAGTATTCAACTGAGTATTAAATGCGTTGAATTCATTATTTGTTTCTAGTGGAAATTTAATATTATATGTTTTTAAAAATCCAGTTGACTCTGCTGTATAATAATTATTATCAATAGTTTTCGTTGCTTCATTATACATAACTATAGCTTTTAAATTCCGAATTTCATATCTGATTTGTTCTAACTTTACAAATATTAAATCGGCTTCTGAAATAAATAACAATATTTATAATAATAATAATAATAATAAATCATATGTAACAATTGCATAAAAAATAATTAATTTTGGATGTTTAAACATACTTTCTTCACTAACAAGGAACGTTCACAAGTGTCCTTTCCCCATTTGGATTCTCCTTGAAATATGTTGTAAAACATACAATTTTGAGGAGACAACGTATTTTTTCATAGCGGCCCTAACTCAAATTTAAGGGGTGAAACACCCTTTTGAAAAAAAACGAGGTTTTTCTTTGTTGTGTAAATATCGCCGTAGGAGATATCAAAAAATGTTTCAATAGAGTTTAATGGCTTGTAATGGGCTTCATAACTGTGTAGTTGGTATTTTTCAAAAAAATGTAAATTTTTTAAAATTTACCTCTACTTGTTATTATTTTTTAAATTTCAAAATTTTTGTAATGACAAAAGTTGTAGCATTTTTTACGCTGAATTCAACCATATATAATTTTATTATGTTTCGAAATCGCATCTTTCAAAAATGAGTTATTAGTATCGCACTATATGCGTCGCGCTGCATGACGCATCGTTTATATCGCACTTGTGTTGCGCAATAGTCGTTAAATAAATATAAAAATGACATGTTATCACATATTTGAGAAAGAAAAGTTAACTAAAATTGTTGCTAAAGCATCCCTTCCACATTACACCCTTATAGATAATCGCTGCATTTCGTGCGCAGCGCGTTGTCATATGCAAGCTAGCTATCAGCGCATATTATACTTTGAAGTTTCGCTTGTAGTAACTACGGGAAAATAATTTATGAAACGAAAACAGTGAATGAATCAATCTATTCAACATATATCTACCCTGACTCCACCCTCTTGGCCCGACTTGACTGACAATGAAATAAAATATAAAATTCTGTACAGTTTACTGTTTTCCAATAATTTTAATATACTATGATACATTCTACATACTATTACATTCCACTAAATTACTACGATACTTTTAAACTATAAGGTATATAATTTTACCCCTTAAATTTGAATTAGAACCGCTATAAAAAAATACGTGTCTCCTCAAATTGTATGTTTTACAACATATTTCAAGGAGAATCAAATCGGGAGGGAACACTTGTGAACGTTCCCTTGTAAGTGTGGTAAAGTTGATTGGGTTTTCACATTCTACTTCATGCAAATCTGAAATTTAAGATTTTTATAATAACATTAAAAATACAAATAATTATGTTAAATTTCAAATATTCCAATAGTTACTTTGTGAATTAAGCGTTAAAACAGGAATGTCCTTATCCATTACAACTATCGATTGGCTTTTATCTTTTAAATCCATACTCAAAGTATCCTCATGCTGAAGAATAATCTTATCTGGAAAATAGTAATAATCATGATTTTATATAATTATTAAAATTATTACAAATTATTAAAAATTGAAATAGTTGCACAAAAATTTATAGAAATCATTTTATATAAAGTATCGAAAAATAATATAAATTTACAAACCAATGGGTAATTAGGGCATCTGCACTATCTTTGAAGATCCTGTATTTAGACCTTTATTTTGTTTTTTCGTATTTGTTTTTTTAAGACGTTTTAATGTTTTATTTGGCTCTGTAAAGAAACAAAAAGTAGAACAGATCAATTTTTATTAATTCGAAAGATTGTTGGATAATAATTTTGATATTTATTTCTTATTATATAGTTATCATGGGTTATAATTGTAATTTACCTGAAACTGAGTTAAAAGAATTTGAATTTTTGTCAGACGTCATAAACTTTGATACGAATCCCTGATAGCCACCTGTCTGTGTTGTTGCTGCCACGTTGCCCAAAACAAAGGGCATTAGTTTTCAGCAAATTTAGAACAAGGTGTGTGAGTCATTTGCCTCTGGTATGATATCACATGAATTCAGCATGTGTTGCTGTCAAGTTGCTATGTGTTTGCTGTCAATGGTTTATCGCTGTACATAAAGAGCAAAATGACAGCAAGTTGCCAACAATACATGCCGAGTCATAAATTTTAACAAAAATTCAACAGCGTGTCAAAAACGGTTAAATATATTTTTTGCACCCTTACTCTTTTCAAACATATAAAATAATAAGTAAATAAATCCTTTTATTATCACCAGAAAGAAGAATTTACTTATTTATTATTTTACATCCACAGAAATGTATCCTTGCTATCCACAGAAATAGAAGAATAACTAGTTCGCATCAGAGAGGATAATGATGCATCGCTCAAAGAAGAACGTCTTTCCGATTTTATCAATTTCATTTTAGAGAAAGAACATTCGCACAAATATGTGGACCCAAAGATGGAGAAAATTCTAAGACCGAAAGTTCGAAGACGTGGATAACACGATGCATCTAAAATTTAAAAAAATTTGATTCCCTTTTCTAATCGCGCCTTTAAAGTAACATCAGATTGTAAATCACAAAGTTCTTCCTGAAATTCGAGACTTTGTTCTTCGATTTGCACAGTAAGAGGATTCTCAAAAAGTATTAAATCCTTTCGTAGCATTTTAAAATCACTGAAACGCTTATTAAATTGACTTATTAAGGAATCAATTAAATTATATTGGAGTTTTTAAAATTTTACATTTAGTGCCATGTTCTTCAAAAATAATCTGGCAAGAAGGAAAAAAGTGAAAAATATTATTTTCTAGATGATTTTTAAATAATTGCAGTTTTTTCTGCGAAAAAGAATCGATATGACTTAATAGTTGAGAAATAATTTGGTCAGTCTTTTGCAACTTTTACATTTTAAAAATATTTAAAATGATTTCGTTACATCAGTAATTACAGCAAGTTCGCACAGCGAGTCTAAATCTTCGAAAAAAAATTTAAATTCATTATATTTTATAGGTAATTGTTCTTGCAAGAAAAGGAAGATCTCTTTTCTTATTGCTAAAGAACTTTTCTAAACATTTTCCTGCACTGAGCCATCGAACTTCGCAATGCAAAGGTACATCTGTATAAACAGCGTTATGTTCCTCGAGAAAGTGTTGAAACTTTCGATGAGAAAGGAATTTATTACCGCCTTTAATTACATTCGTAATTTTTGTCACGGTTTGCATTGCAGTGCATAGTTTCACATCTTTCCCACATAACGCTTCTTGATGAATTATGCAATGAATAACAGGGATTTTAAATTTCGTTGCTTTAACTGACCGAAGAATCCATTTTTCGAACCTATCATTGCTTTTGCGCCATCAGTAACGATAGCTGAACATTTTGAAAAATCGATGCCAAATTTTTGTAGGGTTTGGTTAACAGCCGTAAAAATATCAATACCCGTTGTTCTGTTATGTAGTGGGACAAAATCTAAGAGCGCCTCGACATGTGAAAAATCGTTTTGCACGATTCGAGCAAAAATACTCAATTGACTCACATGCCGATTATCGGTGCTTTCATCGAGACATAACGAGAAGAAAGAACAAGATTCTAATAAAGATTTTAATTTTTATTCTAACGAAGAAGCAATATTGTCTATTCGAGATTTTATCGTTTTGTCAGTTAAAGGAATGCTAGTAGCTTCTTCAAGAGTCAAGGAATTTCCAAATGACTTCACTGCCGCGATGAGGCATTCCTTTATAAAATTTCCTTCACAAAATGACTTAGAATTTTTTGCGATGAGATTAGAAATAGCATACGATGCTGCAAGAGCTTGTGCCGAAGGCGTAGCGTTATCGATATTCGAACTACGACCTTCCTGATAAATTAATTTTAATCCTTCTATTAAATTAGATTTCTCCTCGTCCACATATTTTGAATACTCATTAGAATGTTTATTTTTATAATGTCTATAAACAACAAACTTTTTAACAATATCGGGTTTATAACCACACAGAAGACAGGTGGTTTTATTATCAATACAAGCAAAAAAAACTTCTTCCCATACCTTATCAAAAAATTGATAGTATCTCTGCTCGCCATCCATTGCTTACAATCAGTATCACTAACACTATCACACTCACTATCACAATCACTATCACAATCACAATCACTATCACAGTCACTATCACTATCACTATCACTATTATGCAAATACCACTTATCGTTTTTTCTAATATGGATCTTTAAAACGCTCACACGAGACTTTTAACTCGCGTCACTGGCTATCGTTGAGAAACAACCGAGGAGACAATAATAAAACAAATGCACATCAATGCTACCGCAGTAGGAGTATGCGCTTAAAGTTAAGTCGCGGAATTGAAAAATCCATATTAAATTAAAAGATCCATATTACAAGACAGAAAATGCTATTTGCATAATAATGATAGTCATTATGATATTGATAATGATAGTAATTGCTGGATTTACTTGAAAAAAGTTGATAATGAGTAAAGATTCGTGTAACTCTTTGATAAAATATAAAAAAAATTTTTTGCTTCTATTTGTAATAAAACCACTTGTTTTCTATGAAGTGTTATCAATTCTCTCTTGTTCAAAAATATATTCTTTATAGATATAAAAATAAACATTGTAATGATAATTCAAAACATGTGGACGAGAAAAAATCTAATTTAATTGAAAGATTAAAATTAATTACCAAGAAAGTCGAGTTCGAATATCGATAATGCTACATTTTCGGTAAAAGCTCTTACAGCATCATATGCTATTCCTAATTTTATCGCAAAAAATTCAAAATTATTTTGTGCAGGAAAAATTTATAAAAAAAGCCTCATCGCAGCAGTGGTCATTTAGAAATTCTTTAACTCTAGAAGAAGAGTCAAGATGCAATTATAATAGTTCTATTTCTGTGGATGTAATCGTCCGATTTTTTTATTTGTTCCTCTTTCGTTCTCTTATATATAAAAT